AGAACTCTCTGTCATGACCTGTCCGTCTTGGGTGGCCCTGCACGATATAGCTCATGGCTTCACTGAGTTACGCAAGCCCCTTTGCCACGACAAGGCAGTGATCCATGAAGGGAGGTAGGCAGCAGCATTTAGCTAATCTCAGGAAAGCTAAACTCTGGATGGGGTTGGACTAGAAGGCCTCCAAGTTCCTTTCCAACTCTATGATTCTCAGCAGCCAGGCCTAGTTAGCACTCGGACGGGAGGCTATCAGGCAATCTGGAAAGTGGAAAACCTCCTATAAGAAAACTGTAGGAAGTAGGAAGGGAAAAAAACTTTTCCCTCGTTGCCAAGAAAAGAATGTGTGCAAGATAATCTCCCCTTAAACTTCCATTTGGAACTTGAACCAGATCTGGGAAAGACTGAACTAGCCTTCCATTGTATGCAAAGGCTGGGAAATTTGAGCCCAGATTATTTAGTGTCATGGAAACCAGGCTCATCTGGTTGCTGGCCTGGGACAGGCTCATGAGGATGGTTTCCAGAGACACTTGCAGGAGTAATCAGAGGATTAAAACCCTGAATTAATTAATAAGATTATAACCCAGCAGCCCAGTGCACCATCATTCAACCCCCAGTGCCTTTCTGAAGGTCCTTAATGGCTTAAATCCAGCAACCAGGTTAAAGCATGTTGAGCAACCCTGGTGTTCAATCCTTCAATTTTCTGCATCTGAATAACATGCTAGAGGCGGCATGTTACACATGCCATGTTACACTGGGGCTGGGTCGCTTGTGTTCTGTTGTGTTGTGGGACCCCAGCCTTTGCCTTCCCACATTAAGTTGATCCAGGCCATTGTGTTAAGCCGTGATGGGGTTTATTTCTTTAGACCTGGCTTTTGCTTCAGAGGAAAAGGACCAATGGAAGGTACAGTAGTCCAAAGGCTGACAGCTTTCTCTCAGACCCTGTCAGATTTGTTTGAGGCACGGGTTTTGTTAACTAGACTTGCCATTTGTTCTTGTTCTTTATTCCTTTTTTAAATAATTATTATATTGTATTTTGTTTTTATTGTACACTGGCCAGAATTAGTTTGGAGTTGGGTGGTGCCTAAATTGAATTAAACTATTGGCTGCTTTCCCCTGAAAGCTCAATAACTATTTAGTTCCAACTTTTACAACCTGCAGATTTGGTGGCTTTTCATATCTTGGCCAGTAATATCTCACTCTGAAATTATCGCCTCAAGCTGCTTTCATTTGAAAAATTATCATGTTCATCAGTATCTTATTTCTCAATGATCACTAGCTAGGACAGCTATGTATAGTCTTCAGAGTCAGCTGTCAGGAAAATGAGCAAGAGGATGCTATGGTAATGTTCTGCTTAAAGACTCTGAGAAGCATCTGGCAGGATTTTTGTATGAAAAAGGCAGACAGAACTGCTGGCCTTTATTTTCTCTTACAGGGAAAGCTCTCTTCCTTGCCAGTCATATCCTGCCCTGTAGAGAAGTTATGCAAAATACAGCTCATTTTCCTTCCCATCTTGCATGGGGACACTGGGGGATGCAGTAAGCTTAGCGCACAAATGGACACACTGCAGGGCCTAGGCAGCCCGAGTCTAGCCCTTTTTAGAGTCCACAAAGATCACACCACCAAGCAAACCACTCAATTAGAGTGATATACTTGATACAGCAACCTTTAGCATAAAGCTACTTGAGGATGGAAACAAAAGCTCTACCTCATGTGCCATGAAACACGTGCAAAGAAGGGCAAAAAGGATGATCAGAGAACTGGAAGCCAAGCTCGGAGAAAAGATGAAAATAGAGTTTGGCCTTAAAATACCATGGGTGCCACCCAAAATATCACCACTGGTTCCCACATGCCAGACATGGAACAACAGATTTAAGACAATCTCTGACCGAGCCTCAGGAAAAAAAATCCAAACGGTTTAGAACACCTGATGTGTGGACTTCAGCTCCCAGAATTCTTAGCAATGGCCATGCTGGCTGGGGAACTCTGAGTCCACCCACCTCAGAGTTGCCCAGGTTGGGAAACACTAGTTTAGAGCAACTCAGAATAACCCAGAGAAATTTGGGCTTCTCTTCACTGGATGTGTTCAAGCAGAGGCTGGACAATTATCCATTTGGAGGCTTTTATTTGCATTCACACCCTGAGCAGAGGACTGCATTCGAGGGTCTCGAGTTATTGTTTCTGCTCTAGAATTCTGAAACTCATAAACAAGCTACTGGAGTCACAAGTGTAAATCAAGTTTATGCCATTTACGACATTGTAATTAAAAATGGTTAACATAGTTTAAAAAAACATAACCTTTTATTCTGAATGCTGTTTCAGAGATCCATTTTGGAATTAAAACCAGAATTATGTTTACAAACATAGAAAAGGGGGCATCGTCAAAGGACACAAAAAACTGGAGATTTGATACAGCAGTCGAGAGGCTGAGAAAAAGAAATTAAAAATGATTAGTCAAATACAAAATTAAACAGGTGGCAATTAGGACAAATGTTCACATCCCATTATAAATGGAAATCTCTCTCCCCTTTGCCAAGACCACACGCTGTATCAGCTTTCCCCAACTGTGCCCCCACCCTGGGAACCCAGCCAGCAAGTTGAGGAAGATGAAGTATGAGGCACCCACAGTGCAGAAGTTGCAAAATGGAAGCCCCTTCAGCGCCTTCTTCGGTCAGGACTTCGACTTCTTCTACGGCCACTCCTAGGAAGAAATAGATCATGAGAACCATTAAATGGAGCTTTATTTTTTGTTAAGTGCAAAGGCTTTCTGCTACAGAAATCCATTCAGCTTCTGAAATATTTTCATGTGTTTAAACAAATAATATTGTATGCATCCTTTCAGCTTCAAAGGTTCCCAGAGTAGTTTACATATAGTAAACAAAAAGAAACAACAACAGGACTAGATTATAAGTATCACAATCAGAGAACAAATCAGAAGGCAACCAAAACTCTGGAGCAGAATTTACCCTGATAAAAAGACCCAAGATCTTGCAATCCATAGCAGTAGAAACATTCAAATTAATCTTTATCAAATGTTATGCAATTAAAACAAAAGATAACTTGAAAAGTGCTGGGGTTCAGGGATCAGTCCCTTGAAGCTGGATGTCAGAGACAAGTTTTCATTTCCCATGTTTCTGAGCCTGATAACTGTGTCACTCTTGAACAAGGAAGGCACTGTGCTATCTTCAGTATACTCGGGAACATGATACTGACCCTTCAATATTGTAGGGGTAGATGTAGTTTGCATCAACTATGCACACTCAGAAATGTCACCTACCCTTCTTTGATAAAACCAGGTAACTGAAGGTAAGTAATTCCCACACCTTCCAACTGAATTATTTTTATGTTTCACTGCATACTTCCTTTACTTGGCATTCCCAATACCTATGCACAGACATTGTATGCATCTGGTAGGCTTAGTGAGAAAAGACACTCTTTTTTCTGTGTTTGTTCTTGGGCTATAAAAAAAACTCACCTTCGTTTTCCTTTAGGAGGTCCCCTGACAAAGCACCAATCCACACTAATGGGCTGCCCCATCAGATCCTGTCCATTCAGGCCCTCCATGGCTGCCTGGGCTTCTTTGTATGTTTCATATTCCACCAGTGTGTAACCCTATGAGACATTTGGGAAAGAGACATGAGCACTCTCAAAACTCTTTCCTTAGCCAGCCCAAATGATTCATTCTAGGATACCTTACGCTTGATGTCACTCAGCACTGGCAAGTGCTTGGCCTGGCTTCCTTAACCACAGTTTAGAGAATAAGTCACAGATTATACCACAAACAAGCAAACCAAATGTTGGCTTAGTAGGTTTGTAAACTGAACTCATGTCAAGAAACAAGGCAATTAGGAATAACTGCCACTCCAACACCTCCATCAAACATGTATTTTCCATCTCAGCTGAGTCTGAACCACCATTAGGCTGCTGCTCTATGCCCTTCTCTGGAAAGAGGAAGAAAAGTCCCACAAGGAGCCAGCACAATACCTTCAGATAGCCTGTCCGCCGGTCAAGATTCAAGTGGAGGTTCTTGATCTCACCAAACTCGGCAAACTTGTCATGAATGTCCTCCTCAGTAGCCTCCTCATGCACACCCGTGACAAAGAGGATCCAACCTTCCACCGCTGTAGCAACACAAAGAGCCAAAAGTGATGCTCAAGCCAAATGTATAAATGAAATATACAAATGAAAACTTTCACATGCAGGAAGGAGAAGTGACTTCAGCCAATACATGGGGGGGGGCAGGGGGAGAGGGAGAAAAAAGTAAGGGACATCAACTCACATCTCTGAGGACCCGGTTCATCACCATCTTGCTCCACACTGTCATAGTCCTCACGAACACGGGCCCTGGAGCCCTCCTCTATTCATTCATGCCCAAAAGGAAAAAACAGAGAACAGTTTTTAGATAAACAGAGAGAAACAAAACACTTTTTTGATCTCCTTAAGAGTAGCAACTGAAGTTTTTTCTGGAGGTATCATAAGTGGTTCTCACTTCCAGAGAACAGCAAATTAGAAACCTGTGGGGTACATTTCTCCTCCCAAACCAGGAAGACAAGATAGTAAAGGCAGCTTAATTTATCACAGCTTGGCACTGAAGGCAGCAGGAGAAATATGCCTTTGGAGAGGCTCACAGTGATGGACAGAAACAAACCTTCTGTTTTGTTCAAGTGGCTGTCAAGCACAAGCTTTAGCTATCCCCATCCCAAATCATGGCTGTATCTCATGGAACAGAGTAGGCTGGGAAGGAACCTGTCACAGGCAATACCACCAACTGAATCTATGAACAACAATCTATCCATTGGGGGGAGGTGGGCGGTCAAAAAATTTAATAAACAGACAAACAAACTGCAGCTAAACTAAAAGAGCAAAATAGAACCATTTAAGACAGCTTATCTTCAATCTGATGTGCTCTTGATCTCTTGGACTTCCACCCCCAAAAGCAGGGAAAGCCTTAAGAGGAACACATTCTATGCCAAGAGCAAATTACCTGATCCAAAACCTCTGCCTTTTCTTTTCTTTGCTTTTTCCTTCAGTTTGTGAATGCTTTCTGCAGAGAAATCAAATATAGTTGGCTCAATTAACAACAAAAGAATGGAAAGTGGTTAGCTTGTAATGATTGCACAGTCGTTCTGAAAGCCCAAACCACAAGTTCCACTCCCCAAATGCATAGATGTCTACTGAGAGAAGCAAGCAGCACTTTTACTAATCAGACTCCATCTAAAGTCCTGTGGGCCACATTTCAAATAAAGAAACAGGTTCAAAGAAACACAACAATTTCCAGATTGGGGAATTGGAAACTAAATCTTATGAAAAGGAGTTGAAGAAACTGGGACTGCTTATTCTTCATAAAAAAAAGATTGTGTGGGGACATAATATTCTTCAAACCTGAAAGGATACCAAACTAAAGAGGCTAATTACTTGCTCCCTTTTGTCCCAAGGTGCAGAACATGGAATAAAAGACTTAGGTTATAGGAAACAAATTAGAAATGAATGCTAGAAAAAAATTCTGAACAGTTAGAACAGAACCAATGAGCTAGGAAAGTGGTGGTCTGTCCTACAATCAGAGGCGGGCTAGATGGCCTGAAAGAGTGCTATCTAGTGTTATCTTTGGTAGAAAGTAACAAAATCCAGAATAAGCCCTTTAACTGTTAAATGCAAAAAAGAAAGAGTAAAAACAGAAACAAGAAAAGAACCCAGAATCAATGCATAGGGAAAATAAGCCAGTCGGTAGAATAGCAGGGAGACTTATACATATGTACATATGGGAAGAATGGAGAGAAATAAAAATAAACACTCAGGTGGGACAAGGTTAACACCTTCTCAGAAATCTAACAGCGGATTTCATCTCTTGGAGATTATTTTATGTATTCCTTTGCAATTTAATATTTTAATTCAATTTCAATTTAGTATGTTGATGAAATGGGCATTGACTTTGGAAACTTCCCTCCAAGACTCCAATCAACACTTGAAGAGCTCTTCATCCACTACCTCCTACTGTTCTCACAATTCGGTAAGACTGACTATTTGGGCTTTAAAAGAATAACTGAAAAGTGCTTGAAGGTAAGCAGTTTACACTTCGAGCTCTTTACAAGGAGGTCCCCTAAAACAGCTTGGGAGGAAGAAGAATAGAACAAAGTCTGTCCAAACCACCTAATAGAGAAGACCTTCTTCAAATGGGACTTGCCTTTACAGAAATCTTAGCAAACAAACTACTTTGAGGCCAAGTTAAAGATCAAGGACCATTGCTGGCATGGTGGCAGGGGATGATGGAAGTTGTAACCACCTCCTTAGAGGGACCTGGGCTAAGTTACTGGATATCAAGGTTGCAGTAAAGTAACTAAACTGCTGTCCACTCCTCCAAAAACCTTCCTTCTTTCTTCCACGGCCTCCCACTCCTCGGCAATGGGAGGGAACCCAGGCTTTTAACTATAAAATAATTTTAACATTAATATAGTAAAACAATAACTTTTAAACTTCGGCTTTACATTTCGTTTGTTTAATGGCCGTTTGAAGTACTCGCTAAAATTAACGGAATATTTACTGAAATAAACAACAACAGTACGCCTGTGCAGCTGGACTGATGTTAGCCTTCACGGCCCCAGCCAATCTTCATCCCCAGGGGCTGGGGAAGTTTCACTGGTCCACCTTGTAGGGCTGTTGCGAAGCAGATGGGCTAAGAAGTTAAAGTAGGGTAATGGCATGATACTCATTCGAGCCGTACCGTCGCCGTCCTCGTCCATGGCGAAGTCCTCCCCACCCGCCTCGTGAAGGTCCAGCACATCCGCCATCTCGGCCCACTACACAACGCTTCCCCCAACGGCCTCCGAACCGCGACAGACACGCTCGCGAGGGAGGATGGGATGGCTTCCTGCCGGGACAGGAAGGCCGGCCCTGCTCCCGGGGAGAAGGAAGGCCGGCCGTGGCGACCATTTGGAGGAGGTCTTCAAGAAGCAGGAGACGGCAACTGAGTCTGCGCAGCACTTTCGAAGGCGTGGCTCCCGGAACAGCGCGCGTCCGGGGCGCCGTGCTGAGAGGGCTTCTCCGCGGCCGGGGGTGACGGAGGGAGCGTCCCGGGCTCCGCCTTGCGGCGCCGCTGTTGACCAGAGACGGTGGAGCGGCTGGCAGCACACCTCCAGAGGGCCCCATTCTCTCCCCTCGCTTAAATGGGGCTGTGGCCGCCCTGGCCCCAAACGGCTCCTAACGTTTGCAGGCTGCTGACAGCGCTTCCTTCGCCGAGAGGCCCAGCGAAGCCCCAGGCATCAGCCTCCCCGCTCCAGAGGAGCGTCTTCCAGCCAGGGCTCCGCACAGCTCAGTCTTACTCTCTGGGGCAGAAGCGCCTCAATCGCCATGTTAGCTCAGGGCCTCCAGGCTCTGCAGCGACCTCCCAAACGAGGCGTGGATTTCGGTAAAGCGTCAGTCGGGCATAAAACTCCCGCTTTCATCGGAGGTAGGGCTGGGCGCGAAAGTACGGCGATTCGAAAGTTTCGCAATATTGTGCTTTCTGACGTGAGGTTGCCCGGCCAAAGCAGAAACGAGTTTCAAGGGTTCCCGCTTTGCCTGCACGAACCTTTAAAAATGAATTTTATGCAGTATCCTTTCAGGTATTTGAAGGATGTTGTGTCTCCAGTTTTCTTTTTTGAAGAATAAACAGTCCCATTTTCTTCAACCTCTTCATAAGATTGACTTTTCTGTGCTTCACTGAAGCTGTTCTGAGTTCTTAGCATGTGACTTGAGATGGGATCTGATTAGTAAATACGGTGCCTGCTTCTCTCAGTAGTGCCCCTCAGTTCTGCTGCGCTGCCTCATTGTGGTGTGTGTGTCCGCGTTCCGGGAGGGGTGAGCAGTGTACAGCCAGCGTCTCTTTCCCAGCAGGGCCACCCAAGCGTGGAGGTCATCCCTGCTGCCCAGCCAAAGCCAGCAGGCATCTCTATGGGGCAGCAGCGATATAGGAAGTTGCTGGAGGCAGAGGATCCCTTTAGCTGCACCGGCATGGCACCCATTCACACTGTGCGGGAGAAGGCCGTGGCAAGCCACTCCTGTACTTTACCAAGAAGACCGCATGGCAGAAAATAAACGAATGGCAGATGATACAAGCAGCGCTGGATGTCGGGCCCCCCTCAGGTCCGATGGCCTCAACCTGCTACCAAGGAAGAGCCGAGGATCTTTTGGAGCACTGATGGAGTTTATGACGTGGCTAGATTAAGGCCTTTGGGACGTCCGGTTGCTGATGCTGCCGTACAGGAAAAGAAAACCCAAAGCTGGAAAGAGAGAATTACAGAGGGGACATGGAACGTGAGAAGCACGAATGCAGGAAGCACAGTGAAAGATGAAATAAAATGATTATAAATTGACATCTTAGGCATCAGTGAGTTGAGATGGACAGGGATTGGATATCTTCAATCAGAAGTTCACATATTACTCAGGACATGAAAAAAAACAAAGAGGTGTTGTGAAGACCTAGTTCTCTAATGAAGGCTCTGATGCCAGCAAAGGTGGAAGGAAAATGAAGAGGGCAACCAGCAACAAGGCAGGTGGACTCAGTTACAATAGTGACAGGAGCACCATTGGAAGAGCTGAAAGATCAGGTTAGG